TTATTTATATGCTCATACTACTTCCAGTTCTTAATATAAGAATTAGTTTGACTTTTGATTTGGCCCTAAATATAAAATCCCAATCCACTTTGTCTTTCATATATATTTATTTATTTTTTCGAAGATAGTCGATATAGCAGTTATATATTATTAAAAGTTTTCATCAAATATTAAAACTAATATACTTGATTAGTAATGGTATTTAAAAAAAATAGCATCTATTTATTACACATAATAACTAATTTAATAAATTTTCTTAATTTACTCAAATTAGTTAATCAACTTTTTTTGTATTAAGGACCGAAGGTAATATTTAATAAGAATAGTGAGGGGATGAAAATTAATATAATGCTGGAATTAATATGATTAATAATAACATGGACCCTGAAACACCATAGATCTATAACCAAACCAAGCATAGACATACATAGAAGTAAGACCTATTTAATAGTATATAGTTTAGCTACGGAGCAACCTCCATTAATTTAGAAGATTCATAATAGACCAAGTTACCCAAGCAGTTGATCCACTTCCTGAATGAACCTCTTCATAGCATTGAGCGGTAAGGAGCATGGCACAACTATGCATTCCTCTCCTTTTCCATTCTGATATCCAACATAATAGCTTACCCCCTGAAAGTCACCAGCTCCGGTCGTCGGCGGTCCAGCGTACACGGCCTTACCCCACCCAAAATCCACATCTCTGAACCTAACACGCGAAATATCCGACGCACTCCATGTTCCACGCATTGTGAGGCCCGGTCGTCCTTTTATGACCATAAGATCAGCCACAGATTGTATATACTCCGCCGTTGCCTCAGCTTTGGCCTTCTTCACCAACTCTAAGGCATACCCTAGTGGATTTTCACAGAGCTTTCCTGCGGTTGTGACTGCAGCTGGATACACAAAAGCATTGCCATAGTAACCAGGTGGCAATAATGGAGGATTTGATTTGCCTCTTATGTTACTGACACACGTAAAGCGAACCTCCTCGGAGGACTCTAATTGCAATGCTTTAGTACGACAACGCCAGAGGAAAGCGGTAAGAGCTTCAAACCTCGTAGTGTGTTCACCATTATTGTAAGGGGAAAACAATTGACGGATGGCTTCTAGCTTTTTGGGTCCAAAGAAGAAAGAGTGGTGAACGATGCTTTCTTGGGTCTATATTGGATCATTGTTATTGGGCAGTTGGTCGTACTCACGATGCGTGCAAGTAACTCTAGGCGGATCCCTTGCTGATAGCAGCTCTCTCCGCCATACCGGAGCAACGGAAGGTGCACATGCGCCGCCGGCAATCTCTGCCACGGCGTTTAGGAATTGGAACATGCCAGGACCATCACTTACAGTGTGATTTACGCTGTGGGCAAAGATGAATCCCCCACACTTGAGGCGTGTAACCTATACCAACATGTGCAACCATTAATGAGAGCATTCTTATATATACTACTTCCCTTCTTTGTTATAAGAACTTGTTTTACTTTTAATTTGGTCATAAATATAAGACCCCGTCCACTTTGTCTTTCATATTTATTTATTTTTTTCAAAATAATTCGTATAATAGTTGCATACGTTAAATAATTCATTAATGATAATTCTAGCTAGTATACATGATTAGGAAAGATATTTTAGAACAGACAATACCTATTTATAACAAATAACTAAATTAATTTTTTTAATCTCTCCAAATTAGTCAATTAGGTTTTATATTAAAAACCAGAGGTAGAGAGAGAGTGTGTGTTTGTATAACTTAGATATGGTTGAAATCAAAGTGCTGGGGAAAGGGAAGACCTGGAAAGTTAAGAGGGGACAGTTGAGAAGTCCCTCTGAGCCAGGAACGTTATAAAGGAGTTCATCAAAGTATGGGAAGGGAGGGTGAAGAGGGTCACCGAATTGGTGAAGAGAGATATCAGCATCGGCTTCAACGAACATCACTCCTTCTCCATTACAATCCACCATAAGCTTGCGTCCAGCTCCTTCCCTGAGTCGACCTGCAAGTGGGTAGTAAAACACCAGAGCTTGAGCCAGTGCGTTCTTTATGACTTGAGCTGGGTCCTTTCCTCTCATGGACGTTTTGTGACCATAGAAGTGTATCCCCGGCATCTGAAATCGGAAACCATCTTGGTCATCTATGTCCGAAAGCAGTTTCAATTCATGAGGGGTGGGCTTCGCCGGAGCCACCAGTTCTGGTTCGCGCCGCCTCACTGTAAACACTAAATCACCGCCGGAAAACGCCGCGGGCAGAGCCATGTCATCACACAAATTAACAAGATTGCAAATGGAGGGGGCGACCTAGTGCATGTGTTAATCACAATGAGCTATGTGTTGTGTTGGGTTTATTTTTGAGGGAGCTAGCAATATTTAACAAATATTTTATATTTTATTACTTGGAAACTTGTTCAAAATACCAACACAACAATGTCTTATTAACTTACTGCGTGGGTTAGCTTTAGATATCTCCATGAAGCAAACTTTCTGGACCTCTAATGGCTATGTGTCTTTTTCACGGGCACTGTCTTTTGTTGTGTTTAAAATGATAACATTTTGAATCTAAAAAAACAGGAGTCTTCCAGATTTGTACTTTGATAACTTTACTTTGTTGAATTACATATGTTTTATACATGAATGTTCTATTTATTTATATATTAATTTTTAGATAAAATTTCAAAAAAATTACTATTGAATTTTAAAATTTCAAGTCAGTATTGGCTACTATATTCGTAAAGAAAATGACTACACTCAAAAAGTAAATAACAATATATTTTTATAGTAATTTCTGATTTGAAAGTTTGAAATTCAACAGTCATTTTTTAAAGACTTTTCCTAAGTCCTCACCAACATGACTGTCACGTCTCACCAAAAAGGAATAGAAGTTTAGGACACGCAATTAAGGGATAAGATTTAGCGAAATTCCCCATAATTAATGTAGTAAACTAAACTTTGAATTCTGGCTAAAGTAAGTGTCCATAGTTAATATCTAATAATATCTAGAACAGAATTGTCTTTAATAAAAATATATTGCGTTTGAAGAAAAATGTTCAGGACACTCGTGCTAGCAACTTTCGGGTATGATAACGTGATCATCTTCTATCTATCTGTATATTATTATAATAAAGTATAATAGGTTTTTACCGTACATGTATCGGTAAATATATCTTTACTTAGTCAGATATTCATATAAAAAAATATTTTTTTATTATAAGTCTAATATAAAAAACTTTTTACTGATTTAATATAATTTTTTAATTTTAGATTTTAGATTTTTTCTTTTTAAATTATATGGAATTATGTTAGATTTTTTTTATTTATACATGCTTGAAATCAGCTATTAATTTTTCAAATGACTTATAAATACTGAGATGTATGGGGTAATAAATTACGAAATAAGATATCTTGTTAAAAATTTATAAGTTACGCAGAGTAAAAAACTAATAAATAATTTCGTTCATATTATTAACCAGACTAGCTTTTAAATTTCACGGGGTGAAAGATTATGAAATAAAACAATGTGTCATTTCTATTTTTATTATGTATAAAAATAATAAATTTTAAAAATAAAACAGGTTTTTTTATATTTTTAACATGCACAGGATCATAAATTTTGAACCGCACGCTATTGCTTATATTTTATAATTTTCACTATGCACGAAGGTAATAAATTTTCGACTAAAATATACAGTTTAGGTTTATGCACAGAGGTAATAAATTATAAAATATAATGAATTATAGATTTTACAATATCATTTTGACAAGTTTTTTCAATTATATATTTAGGTTTTAATTTTCGCCAAATATGCATGTTCAAAGTCCCCGTTAATGCATCCGATCCATTGGATCCTGACCCAACCCACTTAGTCAAAACCCGTACAACTGATTATCATAGGAAGCCTTCTAAAAAGTAATTTTAGTCCATTTCATAAGACGTTTAGATAATTCTGATAAGAATTAAATATTCTTTTCATATATATGCTTATATTTAATAAGAATAGTGAGGGAATGAAAATTAATATAATGCTGGAATTGATATAATCAATAATAACATGGACCCTGAAACAACATAGATCTTTGACCGAACCAAGCAAAAACATACCTAGAATATATAATAATATCTTCGGTCCTAATTATAAGAATGAAGTATTATAATTAGCACCAGCAGTAGAATATGGTTTAGCTGATACAACTATACATTCCTCTCCTTTTCCATTCTGATATCCAACATAATAGCTTAGTCCCCGAAAATCATCGGCTCCGGCTGTCGCGGGTCCACCGTACACGGCCTTACCCCACCCAAAATCCACATCTCTGAACCCAAGACGCGAAATATCCGAGACACTCCATGTTCCACGCATTGTGAAGGACGGTCGTCCTTTTATGACCATAAGATCAGCCACCGATTGTATATACCCTACCGTTGCCTCAGCTTTCGCCTTCTTCACCAACTCTAAGGCATACCTTAAGGTCCCGTTTGGCACAAAGCATTAAAAATGAGGGATAGAGATTACGATTACAATTGAAAATAATTGTTAAAATAGTATTTAGTATAAGTAATTACATATTACATGGGATTAGGCAAACCCATTGAGATGAGATTGGAGAATACCACTTTCCCTCATGATATTTCCCAATCCTACATATATGGGTTTGACAAATCCCATATAACAAGCAATCTTTTATGTTAAATACCTTTTTAATAGATTTTTCCAATTCCAATCCCAATCTCTATCTATAATTTTCAATTCTTCCTACCAAACGAGATCTAAGGGATTTTCACAGAGCTTTCCTGCGGTTGTGACTGCAGCTGGATACACAAAAGCATTGCCATAGTAACCAGGTGGCAATAATGGACGATTCGATTTGCCTCGTATGTTACTGACACAGAAAAAGCGAACCTCCTCCGAGGACTCTAATTGTAATGCTTTAGTACGACAACGCCAGAGGAAAGCTGTAAGAGCTTCAAACCTCGTAGTATGTTCACCATTATTGTAAGGGGAAAACAATTGACGGATGGCTTCTAGCTTTTTGGGTCCAAAGAAGAGTGGTGAACGGACGGTTCACATGCGCCGCCGGCAATCTCTGCCACGTCGTTTAGGAATTGGAACATACCAGGACCATCACTTATGGTGTGATTTAGGCTGTGGCCAAAGATGAATCCCCCACACTTGAGGCGTGTAACCTATACCAACATGTGCAACCATTAATGAGCATTCTTTTTGAACTCATTTTTTGTGCCCTATATCCGTGCTTATTCTCATTTGGGGGGTCTTGTCCTCCAGGTCTAGAGATTGACATCAATTGCTTGTGAACGCAATTGGCAAAACTGGACTTAGATAGGGCATCCAAAGCCAGATACCTTACAAATTCTTATATTTTAAATATCTTCTCTACAGTAATCATTTGGAGCCATGGCATTCCAATGACTGGATTTTTTTTTTTGGTAGGACCACACGGAAGAAGTATCTTTTGATAAACTTATGGATTCCAATATTGCATATACGCAAGACTGACCCAGAGGAGCATAGCGATATCGCAAATAAGTCATAATTAAAGTTGTGGACTTGTAATATCCTTCTTACACAGGGATATTTAGGAGTTTGAGTTTTTAGATTTGGTTCTTTGTATTTAGTAACTTCGTTATCGGATGCTTCTTGTAAGTTTTGTTGCTTGTTTATTTTGGCTTTGGTCGTTGCTCTGCTGTTTAGTTTTCAATATTGTTATTTCGTCTTGGTGTTTTATTTTGAATATAGGGTTGACGAAGAACCTGTTGATCCTAAGGGTTATCTTGAGGAGTCTTGCAAACCAAAGTGTGTGAAACCATTGCTGGAATATCAGGTATGCATTTTGAAAATTTTCTTTTTGATGTTTAGGATTGGAGGCCATATCATTTCAATGACTAATCAGCTTTTGTCTCAAAGACATAAACTCAAGGTCCTTTTACTTTCAATCAGTTATAGACAGGGGACACTTGTGGCATCAAATGATTCTGAAAAATTTCACTTTTGAAATTTCTTATTTTATTTTGCACACACTGGTTGTGATATAGAGTAGAATGTGGGTCCCAGAGAATTCAGTTGATCAGTCGTTCACAATCGAGAAGGAAACCAAAATGAACATGAACAAAAATAAAGACTCATAAGGTGGGTAAACCTGTTTAAGATAATACAACATTTGGTTTTAACCAGTGAAATCCCACTAAATTCTGATGAAAAATCTGCCATGAGGAAATTTAGAATGACAGGGATGCTGTTGGTGTATTATAGGGTGGGTGCGTAGGGAATTGAAGATGACACTGAATGGATAAAATTTAGTTAATTAAGCAAAAAGATTGGATCTAGTAGAAGGGGCTAGTCACTCGTAATATGACAAACTAAGGTTCGAATTTCTATTGGGTGAGATGGCTATATTTAATACCCGATAGTACCTAAAAAAAGATTACCTCCAATAGGAGAATACCTGTACTTAGTAAAAAAATTAGTTAATTGTAGAACAAAAAGATAATCACTAACCATGGCAAGAAATAGGGAAAACTATTAGAAATGCGATGTAGATGTAGAAAACAATTATTTGGGCTGCAGCTCTCCCATTGTTTGGGCTTTGTTTTGCACCATGGTTATTTAAATTGGATCATATAAATCAACTCAACCAGTAAACCGGTGGTTTTACAAACCATTCAAACTTGTTTTCTTCACCTTGCTTTCAAAATTAGAAGTTGGAAATGCAATCTCAAACTTGGGATGGAAAGAGTGATCTTGTGGATTTTCCATTTCCCAAATCTTCACGCGAATGCAATTTTTGATGCTAGATAAAGTTCAATTCTTCTACTTCCTGCGTTAAAAGGATCCAACATGACGAATCTGGGCACAAACATTGCACAAGACAATATTTTGATTATTGGTCATGCATTGACAAATGTGTAAGTATCACTTTATAGAATATATTGAACAACGTTAGAGTCACATTCGTTGGTACTAGATTTTGTTGTGTTGCTTGAGACACGAATTAGTAGGATGAGAGTAGCGCGGGTTATCCGTTCGTTGGGTTTCAAACACTTTGAGTTAGTGGAGGCTAGAGGCTCTAGGGGGGTTTTGGTTGTTTTGGAATGATGTCCACCTTAAAATTGAAGTTTTGTTGCGACATTCACTGTTCCTTCGTTGTTATCGTGTTTGCTATGGTAATTTGGTACCATGGTTTTTCACTCCTGTCTATGCAAATCCTCATGAGAACCAATGGCAAGAGCTTTGGGAAAAGATTGATGAGATTGCTGGAAATACGATAGAGCCTTGGCTATTAGCCGGGGACCAGAACAAAATTTGCAATCACTTGGAGCAAAAAAAAGGTGGGAGAGTTAATGAGAGCAAATGTAGGTGATTTTGCGAATGGATTGAAGGTAATGCACTAACTGATTTAGGCTCTTGTGAGCCTTTCTTTACTTGGAAGGGACCTAAATGGCAAGGGCAAGAACGAGTTTTCTAGAGGCTAGATCATTGCCTTTGCAATGTTGAGTGGCAAAATTTGTTTCTAGATACAGGAGTCAAAGTAGGTATAAGGTTGAGTTCTGATCATCATCCCTTGATTGTTATTACTTGTCTACCGAAATTCAGTAGAAATGATGCTACTTTTCATTTTGAAGCAGCTTGGCTTTGTCATAGCAATTTTAAACCAATTTTGCAGGAACACTAGCCGAGAGGAGGTGTGGTGCAAGGTAATGTTAAAGATTTACAAAATGCTCTTGCTAGTAGGAATAAAGAGATTTTTGGCAATATTCAATTCAGAAATAAGCGATTGAATAGAAGAATTAAAGAGATATAGTGCGGTGCTAATTGCTTTGAGAACCTTTTTTGTGAAAATTGGAAAAAGAACTTGAAGAACAGTTGCTGGTTGATCTAAAGCTGGAAGAATTATTGTGGTTTCAGAAGTCTAGAAGTAGGTGGATCAGACAGGGTGACACTAAGTATTATCACAACAAAACCTTGGTGAGAAAAAGATGAAATAGAATCCGTAGCTTGAAAAATAACGCAAGGGCTTGGGTTGAAGAGGAAGGGACTATCTACAAACATTTTCAATATTTTTATGAGAAGCTTTTTAAAGAGGCTGTTGTTTCCAGAACTTTTGGCATGTGACTTGACAAAGGTGGGGTTATATATCAAGAAGTGAACTAGACAGAGTAGGAAGAAGAATTGATGATAAGGAAATAAAAAATGCTCTCTTTGAGATTAGGGGACTAAAAGCATTGGGAGATGATGGATTCCCTGCAATCTTCTATCATAGGAATTGGGATGTTGTAGGAGGGGAAGTGACATAGTTGATTAAGAAATTGTGGATGCGGCCTGAGTTAGTTAAAGATCTCAATAAAATCTTGTTTGTTCTAATCCCAAAAATTGAGAACCCTGAATTCACGTCTCTCAGTTTAGACTGATCACTTCATGTGATGTGTTGTATAAAGGATTAACTAAGTTGCTGGTATGGATAAAATTGCTTTCACCTTTCCAGGGTAGTTTTGTTATAGGCCGAAATATTGAAGACAACGTCATCATGGCTAAAGAAGTGGCTCATACAATAGGAAGGATGAAAGGCAAGAGAGGTTTTATGGTCACTAAAATTGACCTTGAAAAGGCATATGATCATTTAAACTAGGATTTTTTGTTGAAGGCCTTAGAGGAAATTAATCTACCTCAACATTCGAGCTTATATTTCCATTGTTGAGATGCAGATTATGTGGAATGGTAGTAAAAAAGAGGTTTTTAGACCATCTAGATGTATAAGGCAACGAGATCTCCCCTCTACATACCTATTTGTTTTAGCTATGGAGAAATTATCCCATATTATTGCTGACTCTGTAAATTGTAGAAAATGGAAGCCTATAAAATTGGGACGCAGTGGAACTTGTATTTCTTACCTCCTATTTGCAGATGACTTTCTTCTATTTTATGAGGCATCTGAAACTCAAATGCAACATGTTCTTGAGTGTATGGATCTCTGTGGTGCTACATCTGGACAGAAAATCAACTATCAAAAAACTACAATCTTTTTTTCTAAAAATGTGGATCCGTCTAAACAAAACCGGCTTTCGGGGCAGAGTGGTTTTCAGAAAGAGGATTTGGGCAGATACTTGGGTGCTAGAATCACCTACCCAGGAGCAAAATTTTAGTATCTTATTGACAAGGTTCAACAGAAGTTAAATGGATGGAAGTCTCAAACTCTTTCTTTGGTTGGAAGACTCATGCTGGTACAATCTGTTACTTCGCAACCAGGTTATTTTCAAATGCAGCATGATTTTATTCCAATTGGAATATGTAATGAAAGTGAACATATGCAAAGGAATTTTATGTGGGGCTCTGCAGATGAAAAGAGAAAGTTAGATGTTGTGAGTTGGGAAAATGTTTGTAAACCTAAGGAGGAAGGAGGATTTGGAATAAGGAGGGCAAAGGAAATGAATGACGCGCTGTTCGGGAAGATTGGGTGGAATTTAATCACTAATCCTGAAAGTCTTTGCTCACGGGGTGTGCTAGCTAAATATAAAAGGCAAGCTGACCTGATGAGAGAGGTGGATGTTAAAAATTCTGATTCTATTTTATGGAAGCGAGTGGGAGATATGTGGCTGACGTTAATCCAAAACGTTGGATGGGAGGCAAGAAGAGGAAATAAAGTGAAATTCTAGTCTGATTGCTGGCTAGTAAAAGAAGGCAAGTTGATTGATCACTGTGTAAGGGATCCAGAAAGTTTGGATATAGATCTTGTAATGGAGGGGGCTATTGATAATCAAGGAATTGGAATTGGCAGTGGTTGAATGAAGTTCTTCCTGCTCACATTGTCAATAGATGTCATGCTATCCCTCCTCCCTGTTTGGAGGACAGTAAAGACAGAATTGTTTGGCTAGAAACCCAGAGTAAGAGCTAGGTGGTAGCCGGCATGTATAAAAAAATTAGTGAACATGGAAGCAGGTCCAAGGAACCGAATATGGAGGCTCATTTGGAATTTAAAAGTGACCAGGAGAATCCAAGTTTTTCTCTGGTTGGCTGTTCAAAACCGTCTCCTCACTGCTAAGAGATGGATGAAAATATGTGGAGGAGATCCGAAATGCATGAGATGTAGGGTGGCTGCTGAGGATCTTCTTCATGTAATGCGAGATTGCCCTGAATCTAAGAAAATTTGGACTGCATTGGGTGTCCAAGCGGCGGATGGCTTCTATAATGAGACCCTTGCTAGATGGTTTATACGGAACTTGGATGGAGGAGGTGAGTGGAGTATGACGTTTGGAATATGCTGTTGGATGATATGAAATTGGACGAACAAAGTATTCTTTAAAGAAAGTTTTACTATGCCTACAAGACCTGATATATGTACCAAGAAATATGTTTGGGAATGTACGACTCTCACTGCGAAGGTAAATAAATTTGGTATGGCTAAGATTGAATCTGGATGTTAAATGGAAGTTTCCTCAACCTGGTTGGATTAAGTTGAATTTTGATGGATCCGCTAAAAGGTGTCCTGGACCCGCTGGTTGTGGGGGAGTTTTGAGGAGAAATGATGGAAGCTGGGTTTGTGGATTTGTTAAGAACATAGGCTGTGCAAATGCTTACACTGCTGAGCTATGGGAGGTCGTCCATGGGTGGGAGATTATATTGCGCAGGAATTAGGCATTTCCAAGTGGATCATTGAAGGAGATTCTCTGAATGTGATCAATCTTCTTCAAAATGCTTGGAGAGGAGAGTAATGCCAGAATAGAGTCCTCCAACGCGCGCTGAGGAATTTTCAGAGGAGGGTACAGGTTGTTTTTTCTCATCCGTATAGAGAGGGTAGTTTGTAGCTGATTGGCTTGCTAACTTAATTTTATCTCTTGGCTATTATTTTGTGTAAATTTGATAATGCTCCATCTAAAGGTATCTCTAATTTGTTGTTAAAAGACTTGGTGGGGGTTCCTACCCACATTCTTGTTTAGAGGATGAATAAAAGATGAGTCTGGACATATATATAATTTGAGCAGATTAAAAAAATAAGTTAAGTTAGTTATTTGTAATAAATAAGTGTTATTTTTCTTAAAATATTCTTGTTAATCAAGTGTATTGGCTATATATACTATTACTAAAAGGACTCCTTTGGGAAAAAATATACAAATATGAGAAACAAAGTGAATTAGGGTCTTATATTTAAGAGCAAAGTAAAAGTCAAATGAGGTTTTATATTAAGGATGAGAGGTAGTATTCTATTTAATGAGGTTCTAATTAACGTGGGGACGATAACTATTTCCATTGTTTTCCTTTACGTGTGGCTTCAACATATATGTCAATCTGTATTCTGGTGTTTGTTGAATAGACACAATAATTGTTATTATTTAGACATTGGTTAAAAATAGAGCAGACGGAAAAATACGATAGATTTATTTCTGCTGCTACCCCATAAGTAACAAACACAAAAATAAAATTATTAAATTAGCATGTGTTTTGCACTTGTACGTGTGTGATACTCAATAAAAATGATTTTTAAAATAACAAGACCATAACGTTGTTTGAAAACGTAAGTACATAAATATTCTTCTTAATCTATTATACAGTAAATCTTACATTTGTAAGCTGAGTACTAATATAACAAAATAGAAGCTTCAGGGATACTACTTATTATATTACTATTTATCTGAGTCACGATGGCACCTAGCCGCCAAGAGTAGTTGGCAATGTCGTGTTGAAAATTGTCGTACGGACAAATCTGGTTTGCGTGTTTGATTGCTGCTTCTATCTTAAAGGGATTGGTAAATCAAATTTAGATGAACCAAAAGTCCAAAACGCAACCTTCCCATTCATTAGATTATAATTATTTAAGTCAATTCGTGACTTCATCAATCAAATTAATGGAGGGTTCTCGTACGTTTTCTTTTCTTTTCTTTTTTCCTCAGAAAAACCGTAAATATTACTCTATTTTATAAAAAAATAAATAAAGAAAAATTGTTTAAAGGAACCAAGTAAAATCTAGGAGAAGCACGCAACTTGGCCAGCATATCATCCTCAGAGTTCTTTTTTCTTTCAACATGTTCATATTGAACCATTTCTCAAACAGACTATGATTCTCAACCCCATCTCATTTTATTAATAACTCATTTTACAAAAATTTATGAAGCAATTAATTTTTTCAATAATTCTCTTAGTAATTATTATAAATATATTTACGGTGGAATTTTGTGAACATTAAATACAATTTTATTAATTTTATTTTTAATTAATTGTATTATCTTTTTCTTGTACTATTTCTTTTATCTTTTTCCTTATTATTTCTCTTTATCACTAATATCTTATAAATAAAGGCATATTTGAAAAAAAAAAACTTCCCTAGTCCTAAATATAAGACCCACTTTGTAGTGTAAATTACACTACAAAGTGGGTCTTATATTTAGGACCGGAGGAGTAGTATATTTCTTATATATTTGTAAGAGCTCCTCTAGTCTTAAATGTAAAAGCCAATTAAGGAATTAAATGCAAAACTTTAATGTACTTTATCACTCATATTTATTATTTTTCAAACTAATTTATTTAACTTATAAATTGATATCTAATCTAATGTTACATAGAAGTAATAGATGAAGATCATGTCATATTAGTTAAAATTAAGTAATCTACTTAGCTTTCTTGATATATCTAAATTAGTTGAGTAGTTTTTATATTAAAGATAAGATGGGTAGTTTTTCTAATTCATGCATTATTCATAAAATATTATTAACAATATTATAACGGTTCTTATTACCAAATACCCCATGCAACCCAAAATCAATTTCAAAAAAGCTATTTTACAACAGAAACATATTAGAAAAATAATACAAGAATTGCTAAATTTGTGCACCAGACTCTCCAATAATTTTGCCTTAACCTTAAAATGCCTTTAAAACAGCCATGCGCGCAACCACAAAAAATCCCAAACTTATAAGAGAGTACAAGGTGGGGTTGGCGGTGCGGCGGATGTGGCGAGCGTTGCCTCGCCAGCGTTTGGAATGTTGATATATAGCACGTTTGGGGAAGGCACCGGTAGTTGAGTCATCTTTGAGGTTTTTGAGCGGAGGGTGGCTTCTCATGGCAATCGCTTTTGGCATCATAGAATTTTTAGATGAGTTCCGATCAGAAAACGAACTAGTGTGTGGATGTAATTAAATGTAGGGTGTTTGGATACCTCCAAATTAAAAAGCACTTTTTAAAAATATTTTTTCACAAGTCAAGATATAACTCCTCATACTTACTCTTTTTATCATAAAATTACTTTTAAAATTATGGTTCATGCTAAATGATATGCTTGTTTTCTGATGTCAAAGTGATGATTATGATTAGGGTTTTGTAATTATGTGTAGTTTGGTGGCTTTTTATTCAATAAAATGATAATTCAGCTGCAACAAACAATTATCCATATTGATGTGTTTTTATAGAACGATCAGTTTAAGGTTCTTATTATATATGAACGTATCAAAATGGTAAGATTAATTCTTTCTTTTGTACTCTTGGCTTTGATTTCTCATTTCATCATCTTGATGCCTTTTTCAGCACTGTGATGCACAGAATAGATATATGACTTGCAAGTTTTAGAAAGCTAAATTTGCATTTCTTTCTTGTAACCCTTAAATTCTATTGAATTGTGTAAAGCAGATTGAATGAATAATAGTAGCAGTAACAACAGTATTAAAAGTAATAGTAGTAGTAGAATTGGTATCAAATGAAATGTATAGATAACTTTTTTTTTATGGCCATGTAATTGGATGAAATTTGATTAATGCTGGGCCTAATTAGAGATAACCCTTTAAAAGACATTTTTAATATTCATTTAGACTATATCACCCCATAAAGAGAAAAATACAAATTCAAATTTTATGAAGTATGCTTATTAGGAGGGCTTTAACGTTATTATACTCCCCCTGACAAAAATTAATTTCAAGTACAAAGTGACTTGGGAAAACTATGATCACTTTATACCCCCCCCAAAAAAAAAATCATTTAGACTAGATATCTCATGCTTACGTGATCAAAATCCTCTTCTCTAGAACTAATGTATATGGGTTAAAAAACTCTAGTTAGAGAGATTAGAGTCCAAGAGGAAACAAATTTGCGACTCCTTATAAATCATATATATATAATATTTTTTTCTAATTATATTATATTAAATTATATAAGGGTTATTTTATGTTGACATTTCTATGTGCATCTCACTCTATCTTTGCCATCGAGATAACTTCAGGAGTGGTTAATTAATAACAATGAATGATATTGAGGGTCAAATATACGTGCTCTGGACATAATTTTTATAGGAGTACTAAAGCACACTAGTCTCCTTATTATTTTACCTTAATTGTTACAATCATCTCCTTTGACCCTCAAAATTCAAGAGAGTTAATTATTAATTCAACAGTTAGTCGGCCGTTAATTACATATTAAGACCAAAATTTTGAGATGAAATTTTGAAATATTTATTTATTAAAATTAATTAAGATGAAGAGGCAGAGGGAAAATTATTATGATATATTTTGCGGGAGGTGAAAAATCAATGTGCGTCAATGATACGAGTGAGTCGTCTCAACTATTTTCTTACTTGCCATTTTCTTTTTATTTAATAAATATTTTATATTTTATTTGTCGGAAACTTGCTCAAAATACTAACATTACAATGTCAGATTGACTTACTGCGTGGGTTAGCTTTAGATATCTCCATGAAGCAAACTTTCTAGACGCCCAATGGCCACGTGTCTTTTTTACGGGCAATGTCATTTGTTGTGTTTAAAATGACAACATTTTTGAATTAAAAAAAATAGGAGTCTTCCATATTGTACTTTGATAACTTTACTTTGTTGAATTATATATGTTTTATACATAAATGTTCTATTTACTATATTAATTTTTATTCAAAATTTACATTTTGAGATTATATGTGAATATTTTCATATATCTAATTAAATTAGATTATTTTAATTATAATGGACTTGATCCCTGTTCTAACTCTTGAACTACTGCTTGTGGGTTGAATAATCAATCTGATTTTCCATACAAAATTTATAAAATAGCGGGTTTTGCCTGAAACTTTTTATTTAAAATATTTTAAGCTTAAAAAAATTGTACTTGTGTCAATGAATAGTATTTTAACATATAGTCAAGACTCTTTTCCCAAGTCCTCACCAACATGACAGTCACGTCTAACAAGAAAGGAATAAAAGTTTAAGACACGCAATTAAGGGATAAGATTTGGCGAAATTCCTCGTAATTAATGTGATGAATTAAAGCTAGAATTTTGGCTAAAGGGAGTGTTCACACTTAATATCTAATAATGTCTCAAATAGAATTGTTTCTAATAAAAAGATATTATGCTTGGAAAAAAAAAAAAAGTTCAGGGCACTCTTGCTAGAAAGTTTCAGGGATGGTAACTTGATCATCTTCTATCTATTCTGAATGTTATTATAATAAGGGAAAACCATATTGAAGGTACCTATACTTTCTCTCAATTTTTAATTTGATACCTATATGTTTTTTCTCTTTAATTAAACATTTAATTTTATCTTTTTAGCAACATTAGCTCTTATAACTTTGTTCTATTGATATTTTTAGTCTCTACATAAGGATTAATGATGTTAATAGAGGAAAAATAAAGATTTAGTTAAGAACAAAAAACATATAGGTACCAAATTGAAAATTGAACAAAAGTATAGGTATCTCCAATATGGTTTTCCCTTATAATAAAGTATAATAGGTTTTTACTGTACATGTATCGTAAATATATCTTTACTTAGTCAGATATTCATATAAAAAATATATTTTTATTATAAATCTAATATAAATTTTTTTTACTGATTTAATATAATTTTTTTTAATTTTAGCCTGTTTACTTTTTTATTTTTAAATTATATGGAATTATGTTAGATTTTTTTATTTATACATGCTTGAAATCCGCTATTAATTTTTCAAATGACTTATAAATACTGACATGTATGGGGTGATAAATTATGAAATAAGATATTTTGATAAAATTTACAATTTACGCAGAGTGGAAAATTAATAAATAATTTCGTTCATATTATTAACCAGACTAGCTTTTAAATTTCACGGGGTGAAAGATTATGAAATAAAATAATGTGCCATTTCTATTTTTATTATGTATAAAAATAATAAATTTTAAAAATAAAACAGGTTTTTTTATATTTTTAATATGCACAGGATCATAAATTTTGAACCGCACGCTATTGCTTATATTTTATAATTTTTACTATGCCCGAAGGTAATAAATTTTCGAATAAAATATACAGTTTAGGTTCATGCACAGAGGTAACAAATTATAAAGTAGAATGAATTATAGATTTTACAATATCATTTTAACATGTTTTTTCAATTCATGTATTTAGGTTTTAATTTTCGCCAAATATGCATTTTTAAAGTCCCCGTTAATACATCCAATCCATTGGATCCTGACGCAACCCACTTAGTCAAAACCCGTGCGTCGGATTATCCAAATGAATCCTATCAAGACATTAAAGAAGCGCTTGGATGCTACTGCGGTTCATATTTTAGGAAGCCTTCTAAAAAGTCTTTTTAGTCCATTTCATAAGACATTTAGATAATTCTGATAAGAATTAAATATTTTTTTATTTATATGCTCATACTACTTCTAGTTCTTAATATAAGAATTAGTTTGACTTTTGATTTGGCCCTAAATATAAAACCCCAATCCACTTTGTCTTTCATATATATTTATTTATTTTTTCGAAGATAGTCGATATAGCAGTTATATATTATTAAAAGTTTTCATCAAATATTAAAACTAATATACTTGATTAGCAATGGTATTTAAAAAAACACAGCATCTATTTATTACACATAATAACTAATTCAACAAATTTTCTTAATTTACTCAAATTAATCAATTAACTTTTTTTGTATTAAGGACCGAAGGTAGTATTTAATAAGAATGGTGAGGGGATGAAAATTAATATAATGCTGGAATTAATATGATTAATAATAACATGGACCCTGAAACACCATAGATCTATAACCAAACCAAGCATAGACATACATAGAAGTAAGACCTATTTAATAGTATATAGTTTAGCTACGAAGCAACCTCCATTAATTTAGAAGATTCATAATAGATCAAGTTACCCAAGCAGTTGATCCACTTCCTGAATGAATCTCTTCATAGCATTGAGCGGTAAGGAGCATGGCACAACTATGCATTCCTCTCCTTTTCCATTCTGATATCCAACATAATAGCTTACCCCCTGAAAGTCACCAGCTCCGGTCGTCGGCGGTCCAGCGTACACGGCCTTACCCCACCCAAAATCCACATCTCTGAACCTAACACGCGAAATATCCGACGCACTCCATGTTCCACGCATTGTGAGGCCCGGTCGTCCTTTTATGACCATAAGATCAGCCACAGATTGTATATACTCCGCCGTTGCCTCAGCTTTGGCCTTCTTCACCAACTCTAAGGCATACCCTAGTGGATTTTCACAGAGCTTTCCTGCGGTTGTGACTGCAGCTGGATACACAAAAGCATTGCCATAGTAACCAGGTGGCAATAATGGAGGATTTGATTTGCCTCTTATGTTACTGACACACGTAAAGCGAACCTCCTCGGAGGACTCTAATTGCAATGCTTTAGTACGACAACGCCAGAGGAAAGCGGTAAGAGCTTCAAACCTCGTAGTGTGTTCACCATTATTGTAAGGGGAAAACAATTGACGGATGGCTTCTAGCTTTTTGGGTCCAAAGAAGAAAGAGTGGTGAACGATGCTTTCTTGGGTCCATATTGGATCATTGTTATTGGGGAGTTGGTCGTACTCACGATGCGTGCAAGTAACTCTAGGCGGATCCCTTGCTGATAGCAGCTCTCTCCGCCATACCGGAGCAACGGAAGGTGCACATGCGCCGCCGGCAATCTCTGCCACGGCGTTTAGGAATTGGAACATACCAGGACCATCACTTACAGTGTGATTTACGCGGTGGGCGAAGATGAATCCCCCACACTTGAGGCGCGTAACCTATACCAACATGTGCAACCATTAATGAGAGCATTCTTATATGTACTACTTCCCTTTTTTGTTATAAGAACTTGTTTGATTTTTAATTTGGTCATAAATATAAGACCCCATCCACTTTGTCTTTCATATTTATTTATTTTTTTCAAAATAATTCGTATAATAGTTGCATACGTTAAAGAATTCATTAATGATAATTCTAACTAGTATACATGATTAGCAAAGATATTTTAGAACAGACAATACCTATTTATAACAAATAACTAAATTAATTTTTTTAATCTTTCCAAATTAGTCAATTAGATTTTATATTAAAGACCAGAGGTAGAGAGAGAGTGTGTGTTTGTATAACTTAGATATGGTTGAAATCAAAGTGCTGGGGAAAGGGAAGACCTGGAAAGTTAAGAGGGGACAGTTGAGAAGTCCTTCTGAGCCAGGAACGTTATAAAGGAGTTCATCAAAGTATGGGAAGGGAGGGTGAAGAGGGTCACCGAATTGGTGAAGAGAGATATCAGCATCGGCCTCAACGAACATCACTCCTTCTCCATTACAATCCACCATAAGCTTGCGTCCAGCTCCTTCCCTGAGTCGACCTGCAAGTGGGTAGTAAAACACCAGAGCTTGAGCCAGTGCGTTCTTTATGACTTGAGCTGGGTCCTTTCCTCTCATGGACGTTTTGTGACCATAGAAGTGTATCCCCGGCATCTGAAATCGGAAACCATCTTGGTCATCTATGTCCGAAAGCAGTTTCAATTCATGAGGGGTGGGCTTCGCCGGAGCCACCAGTTCGGGTTTGCGCCGCCTCACTGTAAACACTAAATCACCGCCGGAAAACGCCGCGGGCAGAGCCATGTCATTAGACAAATTAACAAGATTGCAAATGGAAGAGGCGACCTAGTGCATGTGTTAATCACAATGAGCTATGTGTGGTGTTGGGTTTATTTTTGAGGGAGGTAGCAATATTTAACAAATATTTTATATTTTATTTCTCGGAAACTTGTTGAAAATACCAACACAACGATGTCTTATTAACTTACTGCGTGGGTTAGCTTTAGATATCTCCATGAAGCAAACTTTCTAGACCTCTAATGGCTATGTGTCTTTTTCACGGGCAATGTCTTTTATTGTGTTTAAAATGATAACATTTTGAATTTAAAAAAATAGGAGTCTTCCAGATTTGTACTTTGATAACCTTGCTTTGTTAAATTACATATGTTTATACATGAATGTTCTATTTATATATATATATATATATATATATTAATTTTTAGATAAAATTTTAAAAAAAATTACTGCTGAATTTTAAAATTTTAAATTAGTATTGGCTATTATATTCATAAAGAAAATGACTACACTCAAAAAATAAGTAACAACATATTTTTGTAGTAATTTCTGCTTTGAAAATTTGAATTATTTTATATATATTTAATTAAATTAAATTATTTTAATTATAGTGGACTTGATCCCGATTCTAACTCTTGAACCACTGCTTGTGGGTTGAATGATCAATTTGGTTTTCCATACAAAATTTATAAAATAGTGGGGTTTGCCTGAAACTTTTTATTTGAAATATTTTAAGTTTTAAAAAATTGTACTTGTGTCAAAGAATAGTATTTTAATACATCGTCAAGACTTTTCCTAAGTCCTCACCAGTCACCAACATGACAGTCACGTCTAACCAAAAAGGAATAGAAGTTTAGGACACGCAACTAAGGGATAAGATTTAGCGAAATTCCCCATAGTCAATGTAGTGAACTAAAGTTTGAATTCCGGCTAAAGTAACTGTCCATACTTAATACTACCTCCGGTCCTTAATATAAGATTTAGTTTGACTTTTATTTTGGTTCTAAATATAAGACCCCAATTCCCTTTTTCTCTCATATTGATGTTTTTTTTTTAAGGTAGCCCTTCTAACCATAATAGTTCTAGTCAATACACTTCATTAGTAAGGATATTTTAGGAAAGACACCACCTATTTATTACAAATAACTAACTTAACTTCTTTCCTTAATCTTTTTAAATTGGTCAACTAGCTCTTATAATTAGGATCGGAAGTAGTATCTAATAATATCTCGAACAGAATTATCTTTAATAAAAAAGATATTGTGTTTGAAGAAAAAAGTTTAGGACACTCTTGCTAGCAAGTTTCGGGGATGATAACTTGATCATCTTCTATCTATCTGTATATTATTACAATAAAGTATAATAATTTTTACTGTACATGTATAGTAAATATATCTTTGCTTAGTCAGATATTCATATAAAAAATATATTTTTATTATAAATCTAATATAAAAACGTTTTTACTGATTTAATATAATTTTTTAATTTTAGCTCTTTTACTTTTTTCTTTTTAAATTATATGGAATTATGTTAGATTTTTTTTATTTATACATGCTTGAAATCAGCTATTAATTTTTCAAATGACTTATAAATACTGAGATGCATGGGGTAATAAATTACGAAATAAGATATTTTGTTAAAAATTTATAATTTACGCAGAGTAAAAAATTAATAAATAATTTCGTTCATATTATTAACCAGACTAGCTTTTAAATTTCACGGGGTGAAGGATTATGTAATAAAACAATGTGTCATTTATATTTTTATTATGTATAAAAATAATAAATTTTAAAAATAAAGCAGGTTTTTCTTATATTTTTAATATGCACAGGATCATAAATTTTGAACCGCACGCTATTGCTTATATTTTATAATTTTCACTATGCACGAAGGTAATAAATTTTCGGATAAAATATACAGTTTAGGTTTATGCACAGAGGTAATAAATTATAAAATATAATGAATTATAGATTTTACGATATCATTTTGACATGGTTTTTCAATTTATATATTTAGGTTTTAATTTTGGCCAAATATGCATGTTCAAAGTCCCCGTTAATACATCCGATCCATTGGATCCTGACCCAACCCACTTAGTCAAAACCCGTACATCGGATTATCATAGGAAGCCTTCTAAAAAGAAATTTTAGTCCATTTTATAAGACGTTTAGATAATTCTGATAAGAATTAAATTTTTTTTTTTATGCATATGCTTATATTTAATAAGAATAGTGAGGGAATGAAAATTAATATAATGCTGGAATTGATATAATAGTTCAAAGTTCCCCAAGTGGTTGATCCACTTCGTGAATGAACCTCTTCATAGCATTGAGCGGCAAGGAGCATGATACAACTATACATTCCGCTCCTTTTCCATTCTGATATCCAACATAATAGCTTAGTCCCCGAAAGTTATCGGCTCCGGCGGTCGCGGGTCCACCGTACACGGCCTTACCCCACCCAAAATCCACATCTCTGAACCCAAGACGCGAAATATCCGAGACACTCCATGTTCCACGCATTGTGAAGCGCGGTCGTCCTTTTATGACCATAAGATCAGCCACCGATTGTATATACTCTACCGTTGCCTCAGCTTTGGCCTTCTTCACCAACTCTAAGGCATACCTTAAGTCCCGTATGACACGAAGCATTGAAAATGTGGGATAAAGATTACGATTACAATTGAAAATAATCATTAAAATAGTATTTAGTATAAGTAATTGCATATTACATGGGATTAAACAAACCCATAGAGATGGGATTGGAGAATACCACTTTTCCCTATGGTATTCTCTAATCCTATATATATGGGTTTAGCTAATCCCATATAACAAGCAATCTTTTATGTTAAATACCTTTTTAATAGGTTTTTCCAATTCCAATCCCAATCCCAATCTCTATCTATAATTTTCTATTCTTCCTACTAAACGAGATCTAAGGGATTTTCACAGAGCTTGCCTGCGGTTGTGACTGCAGCTGGATACACAAAAGCATTGCCATAGTAACCAGGTGGCAATAATGGACGATTCGATTTGCCTCTTATGTTACTGACACACAAAAAGCGAACCTCCCCCGAGGACTCTAATTGTAATGCTTTAGTACGAGAACGCCAGAGGAAAGCTATAAGAGCTTCAAACCTCGTAGTATGTTCACCATTATTGTAAGGGGAAAACAATTGACGGATGGCTTCTAGCTTTTTGGGTCCAAAGAAGAGTGGTGAACGGACGGTTCACATGCGCCGCCGGCAATCTCTGCCACGTCGTTTAGGAATTGGAACATACCAGGACCATCACTTATAGTGTGATTTAGGCTGTGGCCAAAGATGAATCCCCCACACTTGAGGCGTGTAACCTATACCAACATGTGCAACCATTAATGAGCATTCTTTTTGAACTCATTTTTTGTGCCCTATATCCGTACTTATTCTCATTTGGGGGATCGTGTCCTCCAGGTCTAGAGATTGACATCAATTGCTTGTGAACGCAACTGGCAAAACTGGACTTAGATAGGGCATCCAAAGCCAGATACCTTACAAATTCTTATATTTTAAATATCTTCTCTACAGTAATCATTTGGAGCCATGGCATTCCAATGACTGGATTTTTTTTTTTTTTTGGTAGGACCACACGGAAGAAGTATCTTTTGATAAACTTATGGATTCCAATATTGCATATACGCAAGACTGACCCAGAAGAGCATAGCGATATCGCAAATAAGTCATAATTAAAGTTGTGGACTTGTAATATCCTACTTACACAGGGCGATATGTTTTTTCTTTTTTCTTTTCTTTTTTATTGGATATTTAGGAGGAGTTTGAGTTTTTAGATTTGGTTCTTTGTATTTAGTAACTTCGTTATCGGATGCTTCTTGTAAGTTTTGTTGCTTGTTTATTTTGGCTCTGCTCGTTGCTCTGCTGTTTAGTTTTCAATACTGTTATTTCATCTTGGTGTTTTATTTTGAATATAGGGTTGAGGAAGAACCTGTTGATCCTAAGGGATATCCTGAGGCAAATCAAAGTGTGTGAAACCATTGCTGGAATATCAGGCATGCATTTTGAAAATTTTCTTTTTGATGTTTAGGATTGGAGACCATATCATTTCAATGACTAATTAGCTTTTGTCTCAAAGACATAAACTCGAGGTCCTTTTACTTTCAATCAGTTATAGACAGGGGACACTTGTGGCATCAAATGAGTCTGAAAAATTTCACTTTGAAATTTCTTATTTTATTTTGCACACACTGGTTGTGATATAGAGTAGAATGTGGGTCCCAAAGAATTCAGTTGATCAGTCATTCACAATCGAGAAGGAAACCAAAAGGAACATGAACAAAAATAAAGACTCATAAGGTGGGTAAACCTGTTTAAGTTAATACAGCATTTGCTTCTAACCAGTGAAATCCCATTGATTTCTGATGAAAAATCTGCCATGAGGAAATTTAGAATGACAGGGATGCTGTTGGTGTATTAGAGGGTGGCTGCGTAGGGAATTGAAGATGACATTGAATGGATAAAATTTAGTTAATTAAGCAAAAAGATCGGATCTACTAAAAGGGGCTAGTCACTTATAATATGACAAACCAAGGTTCGAATTTCTTTTAGGTGAGATGGCTACATTTAATACCCAACAGTACCTAAGAAAAGATTGCCTCCAATAGGAGAATACCTCTACTTAGTAAAAAAATTAGTTAATTGTAGAACAAAAAGATAATCACTAACCATGGCAAGAAATAGGGAAAACTATTAGAAATGCGGTGTAGATGTAGAAAACAATTATTTGGGCTGCAGCTGTCCCATTGTTTGGGCTTTGTTTTGCACCATGGTTATTTAAATTGGATCATATAAATCAACTCAACCAGTAAACCAGTGGTTTTACAAACCATTCAAACTTGTTTTCTTCACCTTGCTTTCAAAATTAGAAGTTGGCTAGGCAATCCCAAACTTGGGATGGAAAGAGTGATGTTGTGGATTTTCCATCTCCCAAATCTTCACGCGAATGCAATTTTTGATACCATATAAAGTTCAATTCTTCAACTTCCTGCATTAGAAGGATCCAACATGATGAATCTGGGCACAAACATTGCACAGGACAATATTTT